TGCAATATGTCATGTGACGACCATGTCATCGCAAGTTTGACACCCCTATTCTAAGGTATTGATTAGGATAAAGAACAGCTGTGTAAAAACCATAAATTTTACTATACAGTGCTGTGATCATAACTGCTTCCTAGGGAGAGCCCTTCTTATTACTCTTAACAGCTGAATTCAATCAATCCATTGATTTTACACATATGGGACATTTTGTGTGCTATTTTCCCGGTAGCGCAGTGGTTAGAATGCAGTATGGTAGGTTACTTCTGCTGACTGCTGGTCTGCCTACAATTAGCAGTTTGAATGTCACCATGCTCACGGTTGACTCAGCCTTCCATCCTGGGTCCATCGGTAAAATGAGGACCCGGATTGTTGGGGGCAGTTGGGTGACTCTGTAAACCGCTTAGGGAGAGCTGTAAAAGAACTATGAAGTGGTATATAAGTCTAAGTGCTAGTGCTGCATATAGTAAAATTTCCTTGGTTCTGCTGATGTTTTTCTCTGGGAGTTTGTATGCATTTCAAGTCTTTTTAACTCATCCTTTCTTCTTCAGGAATGTCGAATTGCACACCCGATTGTTAAATGTACCTACTGTAGAACTGAATTCCAGCAGGAGAGGTAATACTGCATATGATAACTTATTAAGAAGTAGCAACATGGAATGACTGATGTTTCCCACATGAAAACTTTTTACAGTGTTCTGTTCTTTTATTTCCAGTATGTTTTGAATACCAATAAATAGTTCAAAATGCTTTACGACTTGTTAATGTTCAGCCAGGCAGAAGAACAAATACTTTACACTAGTTTTCTAAATTATGCTTGTAGCAGTTTAGAAATAAATTCTGCTGGAACAGATAGCACTTCCAAGAGAAAAAGTGTGGAAAATACTTCTTGTCTTCTATCCACGCGAGGTAGCTGTTATGAAAAAAAAAAAAATTCTTCTCCATTGCAACTGTAATACTAGTCATGACTCTAGAACAACTCATCATTTCCTTTAGTAGCTCCCTGGGATGCTGTTAGTGCCAGCTCCAATTATATGGAAGTGTGCCACTAGCATTGGCAGTAATTACAGGATTGGGATTCCCATGTGTAATGCTGCATCCACAATGAAGGCAGATGCGGATATTTTTTTTTTTATGGTAGCTCTGTACATTCAATATGCCAAATTGCTATAGGGACTTGGACCCCAGATTTTGGCCAGAAGGGAATTAAAATCCACCATATCTATAAGCTTGAACTGTACAAACAGTGGCAGCCAGAAAAATTACATTTGCAAATATAGCTAGTCCTTGATTTATAACCACAATTGGGATCAGAATTTCCATTCCTAAACAAGATGGTTGTTAAATAAGTTGTGCTTGATTTTATGACTTGCCTGTCAAGTGAACCATGAGATCGTTAAGCAAATCCTGCTTTCCCGTTAACTTTGCTTGCAGGAAGATGACTGGAAAGGTCACAAATGTTACTCACTTGGCCCAGAACACCGTAACGGCTGCAAATATGTGCCATTTGCCAAGTGCCCAAATAATAAGCCTATGATCTTGGGGATGCTGCAATAGACATAAGAATGAGCACTTGCTGTAAGTCACTTTTTTCAGTGCTGTTGTAACTTCAAGAGGTCACTAAATGGTTGTAAGTCAAGGACTCTCTGTAAATGGAGAGTAATTCAGCTCTGTTGAAGATTGCTTAGAAAAGTGCTTTCCTGAATTCAGTGGGGCTTCTTGGGAAAGGGATTATGGACTGTTACTTCAGTTATCTAAGTGACAATTATTTTTTGTGGTAGGATTGCCATAGGCTATAGTAATTTGGGGAACTTGTGAGCAGCTCCAGTTAATTTAAATATGAATACTTCAACCAGCAATGCCTTCTCTTTGTATCCAGTTCTTAAATTGGGAGAATATTTACACATTTATGCCTTAAAAGTGGGCCTCAGACCTCAGGCAACCAAAAACCATATAATGAATGGCACAGTAAGCCTGTGGATTTCCAGATGTTGCCTATGATCTACCCATTCATAATTACTAAGGGGTAATAAAAGATGAAGTCTAATCAACTGGAAACCTCTGTTATAAGATAAAATCATAATGTGAAAGCCACAAATGTGTTTAAAATTCTGACTGCTATATTTGATCGGTATACATTGGGGCTGTGCAGCTGTATAGCCTTAGACTTTGTAGTCTTAAAAACTCCAAACCATCCTTAACATCTATTTGCAATCTCTTTTTAAAATTATCTTTGTTTAATGTTGATTCTTTTAAGTCAGCTGACAGAGTTCATAACTTTTATTTTAGAACTTATACATCAGTCCATGTCTTAAAATAAGAGACAATAGAAATAAAAATTTGAGATATTCCAAGGCATTTGAACACTGAACAAGTATTACAAGAATTCCCCCATTTGACATTTGAAACCCAGTTAAATAAGTTACAATAAATAGCTTTCCAAGAAAGAAAAGAGGAAAAAAATCAAAATAATCTGTGTGTAATGTGCTCATTTGCTAGAGATCTCTATGGTAAACAAAGACCTGTCTCAAAACTGGCTGATTTCTGTGCATATTTATGAATCAGCTCATTGATTTTATGAATGCAGTCTGATTTTTCTTCATAGTCACACCTAAAAGTAACACCTTTTCCAAATTTTTGATTTTTTGACTTTGTCGCAAGCAGATCAGTCTCTTTATCATAATTCACTTTGCAGATCTGTTTAACTTTCTTTTTGAGCTTCTCAACAAAGACATGATGCCTTAAAAGTTTTAATACCTCATTAATTTGAGAGGCTGCATCACTGATTGCTCTAGTATAATGACAGAATTGGGTGCCTTTTGCCTCTTTGCAGAATTTCAAAAGCTTTTTTTCCCCCAATACTATTCGGTGTGAACTCAACTTCCTTCTCTGGTAGAGCACAATATTGCATTCCCAGGAATGACAACACATACTTCGTGGTCTCCCTCTTGCAGAGGATAGCTGTTTTTGCAAAATGGAGAGAATGGGGAGCAGGATCAAAATGAGTGCAGCCCAAAGCCCATTAGCTGCCGAAATCCTACTTCTTGTAACTCATCTCACTTAGCTCACCCACTTGCACCTCTTAAAGCAGCTGCATCTTTTTCTGCCATAGCTACAGCCTCCAGTGGTGGCTTGGTGGGTATGGCAGGGGAAGGATACTGTAAAATCCCCATTCCCTCCCCACCCCACTAACCTGCTTTCCAGCTCCGTTCTCCTGTGCAGGGCAACCAAAGAAGACCCAGCCAATCAGCTGGGACTCAGGAGGCAGAGAATAGATGGGGGTGGGGCCAGTCAGAGGTGGGATTTGCTGGTTCTCCGAACTACTCAAAATTTCCACTACCAGTTCTCCAGAACTGGTCAGAACCTGCTGAATACCACCTCTGACTCCATCCCAAGAAAATGATGCAGCAGCTTTAAAGAATTGCAAACAGATGCTCAATTTGCACTCCTGTATGTCTTAAAACATCCTTTGGAGACGGAATCTGAATAGCTGCATTTTTTTCATACTCTGTTTTTCCTTTTGCTAGTAAAACCAATACAATATGCAAGAAGTGCGCTCAGAATGTGAAACTTTATGGAACCGTATGTATCAAAACTCTTTTTTCCCTTTAGCAATTTGGAATGCTTACCAATAGTATAAAATCACTAATAGAAGTAGCAGTAAAGCAGTAGCAGAGAAAAAGTCATTTATAGAAATGTATATTATTATAAATTGCTATTAAATTTGCATGCTGCCCAACTCCACAAATTAAGGATTAGCTGAAATGGGTTGATAGTCTGGTAGTGCAATGTTTCTCAACCTCAGCTACTTTAAGGCATATGGATTTCAACTCCCAGGATTCCCCTAGGCAGAATGCTGAATGTGGAATCCTGGGAGGTGAAGTCCACATAACTGGAAGTTGCTGAGGCTGTAGCTTGTAGTGAGAGTTGCTCCAAATTGCTGACTGCTGATATATGTTTTCCATCACTGGCCTAGTGCCTGATAAACAAATGAGACGTTCACAAAGAATGTCTTCATGCAAGCCAGCTAAGACATTTGAGTGTTAATTGAAATTGCATTCATAAGTACATTTGTTACAGTTCAAGTGCCTAAAGATCTTTAAATGTGCGTTCTTGCTTTGAAAGTTTAAAACGCCTTTTAAACATTTAAGCTGTGTGAGGGCTATAAGACTGTTTCAGTGTATAAGAGGATTATTTTCCGTGGTTGATCAAAGAAAAGTAACAACTATAGAGAAGTTAAATACTTGTGTCATCATCAGTTCCCCCCCTACTTTTACTCAATTATTTCATTGAAAAAAGCTTGGAATGCATTGTTAGGAGCATTTGAGCAGATGACTGCTTATATATTCCAAAGTGATGCTAATCCCTTTGTTGTTTCATCTTCTTTATTATTTAAGCCAAAGCCATGCCAGTACTGCAACATAATTGCAGCATTTATTGGCAACAAGTGCCAGCGGTGTACGAACTCGGAGAAGAAATATGGGCCGCCCCATTCATGTGAACAATGTAAGCAACAATGTGCCTTTGACAGGAAGGATGATAGGAAAAAAGTGAGTATCTATGTATGTCCATTTCAGGTAGTCCTTGACTTACAACAGTTCATTTAATGACTGTTCAAAATTACAGGGGCACTGAAAAAAGTAACTTGTAGCTATTTTTCACACTTATGATTATGGCAGCATCCCCACAGTCACATGATCAAAATTCAGATGCTTAGACAAATGGTTCATATTTATGACCGTTGCACTGGTCGCCTTTTGCGACTTTCTGACAAGCAAAGTTAATGAGGAAGTCAGATTCACTTAACAACTGGATTAATAACTTATCAACTGCAGTGATTCACTTATCAACTGTGCAAGAAAGATCATAAAATGGAGGCAAAACTCACTGAAATGTTTCACTTAGCAAGAGAAGTTTGGGTCTCAATGCTGGTCATAAACCATAGATCAATAGTGGTCATAGACCTGTAGAGAAAGGATACTTGTAGACTGGAAGCACATTATTGTACTTGCCAGTATCTTGGGCAGAAGTTAACTGGTGCTAGCCATTATTTCTAGCTGCACCTCAGTCATTAAGACAGAACCGAAATCATGAATAACAAATTTTACAGCTTTTGGAAGAAAAAAAAACCTGTATAAGTTAAGCACTGTTTTTTTCCCAATAAGTTGTGAGTTGAATCGAATATCATTTTCCTTAAGAGGAAATTGAGGAGTTGATCTGTATTAAATAGCAGATTTTTTTAATTCATTGGGTTTCAGAATGGGGTGATTGTTATTGGGAAAGATAGATGAGCCTATTTCTAATTCCTGCTGGATTCACATGCCTCTTCCATCCTGTTTTGGCCACATTTTTTCAATTGTTTAAACCAATTAAAGTTTGTATTCATGTTTTCTCTGAAATGACCTTTTGATGCCCATTTCTAAGCTGCAAACAGGCATTTTATACAACATGATACTATAGAATGCAGGTTGGTTCCTATCTGCACATGAATGTTGATCAAATCTATTAATAAAAACTGTTGTTTTCCTTGACTTTAGGTAGATGGGAAGTTACTCTGTTGGCTCTGCACACTCTCCTATAAGCGAGTGCTACAAAAAACCAAAGAACAGCGTAAACATTTAAACACCTCCTCTCGGACAAGCTTGCCAGAAAAGGAGCAATATGGCCGACTTAACTGTGGCGGCCACTACAGCAGGTATCTTTGCTTTGCACGCTGTTTTCAAGCTCATCAATGATCTTGTTGACATATGCTAAGCCAAGGTTTGCTTAAGTATAGCTAGTCTTCATTTAACAATGGTAATTGTTACTGCAAACTCCATTGCTAAACGATGTGGTTGTAAAATACAACATGCTGTGAACTGCATCAACTTATAGCAATTGTGACAGTTCCACTTACCATTGTTAAGCAGATATAGTGGCGTAGTTAGACATGACATCACACAATCACCATTCATGAATTCCTGCCTATAGCACTGATGTACGTTATGTAGTTTGGATAAACAGCCAAGCTCAGAGATCACCCTCAGCTTCAAAAATCCTCTTTTATTGGTAATGGCTGAAAATTTTAAAATTGGGATTTCAGATTGGCCGGTTTCCAGGCTGTGGTTAATTTTTCTTCTGTGCTCTTTTTGCAGCCAGAAAACCTTATCTACATCTTCTATTCAGAATGAACTCCCAAAGAAAAAACCCAAGTTTGATGCCATATTAGCCAATGGGGATAGGTAAGCTACTTAAAGGGCTATTGGATTTGTCTTTGCTTTAAAAAGGAAGGAAGGAAGGAAGAAAGGAAGGAAGGAAGGAAAGCACTTGATACACATTCTGGTGTTTAGTGATGAAAAGTAGAAGTTCCTCAAAATATCCACAAAATTAGTCATTCTGGAAAGGAAGATAGACATCTCTCTCCTTCCCCCACCCACCCACTTCATGCCACAATTTCACTGGTATGTCTCCCGCAGAGCTCCTCTTTGCCTCGACATATGGAGGCTCTCATTGGCTTGCAAACAATTTAAAGACATAGTTTCCAACAGGCCTGTGATACAGAAAAAAATTAATGCAGTGTTCCCTGTCTTTTATTATTTTAGTCTTGTTCAGTCTTTCTATTTGTGTAAGAAAACTGTGCATATTAATATAACATTTATTTTATTCTGTATATTGTGTTTCAAATACTCAAATTATTTCATTTATAGCAACTCGGCACAGGTAGTCCTCTTTTAGTGACCACAATTGGGAGCAGATATTCCACTGCTAAACATCATGCTTGCTTAATAAAATATCATATGGCCATGAAAGATTACAAACTAACTTTGGGTTAAGGGAAACTTCACATGACCACAACTTACAATTTTATTTTCCCCTTCTCTATTAACTCTACTTGTTGCGGTCCAGTTGCAGAGCACATAAATGATGATTATTTGACTGGAGGATGCTGCAGTGGTTGTAGATGCAAGGATTATTCAGAAAGCTATTTTTTAAACATAATCATAACTGATTATTAATAGGCATTCCAAGAGGTAGTCAGTAAGAAAGGGTTATCTGTAATTGTTAAATTAAAACCTGCCAAGCAGTCTGCTTCCACAAATTGGAAGGCTAAAGGTTGAGGAAGCAAAACTGCTCCGTGGAATCCTTCTTTATTGTGGCCTCCAGTCTGCCTGGAGAGTCCTTGGTGTTCTAGTCACAACATATCTGAAAAATAACTGACTGGGGAAACTTGGCCTGTGGCCACCAAGAATGGACATTCCGATGCAAGGATTGAATGCAGGGCTTTCTAGGACACTCTCTGGCCTAATGCTGTACCATATTCAACTGCAAGTTTGCAGGTTTGCATTTAGGCACAAAGGATCAGGCTCAAATCATCCTGCTTTGAACCAATTATATACAGACCCAACTCTCTGGAGAAGGCTGTAATGTTGGGAAAAATGAAAGGGAAGAAGAGCCAGGTGATGGACTCAGTTACAGAGACAGTGAATGGACTATTGCAGTGATTCCCAAAGTGGGTGGTATTGCCCCCTGGGGGGCAGTGGGATGCCGCAGAGGGGTGCTAAGAGGCAAGCAGGCTGGCAGGGGGGCGCTAAGAGGTGGCAGGGGGGTGCTGGAAGTGGCCTTCAGGGGTAGGATTTTGCAAGTAACTTGGCCAAACTGGGAGTCAAAGCGCTGAAGTGTGAGCGGCGCTGGAAACTTTGGCCGGGGTCTCAAGATGAGAGCAACTCTGGCCGCTTCTTTCTGCGAACAGGCGGCCAAGATATCTGCAAACTGTCAAGTGCTCCTCGAGAGAGAGAGACGATTTTGCAGATAGCTGGCCGAACTCCTGTGCAAAGGGGAGCACAACGTTGTTGCACCGCACTAACACGGGGGGTGGGGGGAGGTGGCTCATCCCCGAAGAGCCAGCATTGCTCCAGTGACGCAGCCCCGAGGACGCTACCTTTGCCTGCACCCGTCACTAAAGTGCGGCAGCCAGAGAAGCGCTCCATTCAGAAGCGCTGAACTTCCAATCGGCGCTGGAGGCAGCGCTGGAAGGGGCTCCCTCAAAGGGGGAAGAAAACTCTTCCTCTGCCGCAGCCGCTGCTTTCGCCCCTCTCATAAACCCTGCCAGCTCCCGGGTGTCCTGTTTGCAGTCCTGCCTGAGGACGTGCCCCCTGCCCCCCCCCCATTACATGTCTATTAGGAGCCCCCGAGCCTGGCTTCTGGAGTTCTTCGGGGCACCGGGTGTAAAACCGCATCCAGCCAGCCACTCCTTTGTTTGAAGGGGAGATTTCTGGTTCCTTGTGTTGCTGTGTTTTTTTTCCTCCTGTGGACAGTGGAGGAATCAAGAATTTCACGTATTTGTGGCGTGGGTCCCTGTCACAAAATCAGAGCCTTTTGGCTGTTTTATGTTACTGGCCCATTGCAGAGAGGTGGTTGAGAGAAAGAGAAATTGTAATGTAATGGCAAAATAGTTCCATTTTATTATACTGGTAGGAGAGTGGCTTCTGATAATCATGAAATGCAAAACTGTAAATGTTTCCCCCTCCTAATCAAGGTGACAGTATTTATTACCTGAGGCAATAAGCAGTAGAAATTCAACAATACAGAATGAACCATTTTATGTGACACCTCACTGTTGATACTTAGAGACAGTTTTGCCTGTTAGCAGAGAGAAGAAGCCGGAGTCACTCTCATCTCTTGAGAGCCCGGCCAAAGTTTCCTGTGCCACCATCAGTCAAAATTCAAATTAGTGGTCCACTGGATTTAAAATTATGAGTTTGTGGTCCCTGAGGTCCAAAAGCTTGGTGACTCCTGGATTAGGCCACACCTGCCTGGGCAGAAAATAGGGAGATAGGTTAAGGAAGGGATAGAGAGAGAGGGAATGAGAGAAAGAGAGGGAATGAAAGAAAAAAAGAAAGAAGGAGGGAGGGAGGGAGGAGAAAGTGAATGGGATAGGGAGGGGGAGAGAGAGAGAGAAAGGGAAAGAGGGAGAAAGAGGGAATGAGAGAAAGAAAGAGGGAGGGAGGAAAAAGTGAATGGGATATGGAGGGAAGAAGAGAGAGAAAGAGAGGGAAAGAGAGAAAGAGAAGGAAAAGACAAGAAAGAGAAAAGGGAAAGAAAAAGGGAGAAAGGAAGAAAAAGGACAGACAAAGAAAGGGGAGAATGGAAGAAAGAAAGAAAGAAAGAAAGAAAGAAAGAAAGAAAGAAAGAAAGAAAGAAAGAAAGAAAGAAAGAAAGGAGAAAGTGAATGAGATATCTAGTCCAACCACCTGCTCCAGCAGTGTTAGAAGGGTGTGTGTGTGTGTGTGTGTGTGTGTGTGTGCATGGCTGTCAAAACTCCAAAAACGAGTCAAGTAGCTCTGGGGAGGTCAGTCATAAATTAGAACACTTACTAAGCAACCAGCCATTAAACGAGGACCACTTATATTTGGTTTGCCAGTCACATGGCCACCTGGCCACGCCCACCCAGTCACATGACCACCAAACCATGCCCAGCCAGCAAGCCACGCCTGGCCAGTCACACGCCCACAAATTAAGCCACGCCCACAGAACCAGTTGTTAAGAAATTTGAATCCCACCCCCGGGTGGGGTGGCACTGAGGATGAGTTTGTAGCACCAAGGGGGCGGTGGACTGAAAAAGTTTGGGAACCACTGGACTATTGGGAGGACATGATAGGGATAGATCATCTTGAAGAAATCTCATGTGATTGCCACGAGTCAGAAACTCCTTGATGACATAATCAGATTGCAACTAACCCCCAAGAAATATTTATGGAGATTCTCAGTCATCCAGGCCATGGTTGTCCCAAAGGTGCTTTTTCAAGAGGCAAATGGGTTTTCTTGAAAAAAGCACCTTTGGGATCCAAGAAATGTTCTTCAGTTTATTTAAGCAAACATAGTTTCTGGGTACCAAGGGATAATCTAAATTATCTAAAACCAAAGTATTTCAAACCTCTATTAAATTATAGAGGCACCTCTTAATCATTTGCAGCATCTGAAATTTTCAACATTATTAATATCTATAATTTCTAGAGTACTTTTGAGGGAGATTTGGAAATGAGAACTAGCTTAGCCTAGTGCAGAGGTCTCCAAACTTGGCAACTTTAAGACTTGTGGACTTCAACTCCCAGAATTCTCCAGCCAGCTGGCTAGAGCGTTCTGGGAGTTGGTCCACAAGTCTTAAAGTTGCCAAGTTTGGGGACCCCTGGCCTAGTGGTTAAACCAGGAGACTGTGAGTTTTAGGAAACTCACAGGAAAGCGGGCTGGGTGACTTGGCTAGTCACTCACTTCACAGGGTTATCTTATGGGGAAAATAAAGGAGGGAGGAATATTATGTAGGTTCATTGGCTTGAGTTACTTATAAAATAATAAAGGCGGGATAATCTAATACATAAATTTGATTAGAAGTCCTTGCAGTGTTCCTACATAGCCACTGGAGGGCAGCATAAACTGTGAGAAAGAAATTACAGGTAGTCCTTGACTTAGGATCACAATTGAACCCAAAATTTTTCTTAATTGAAACATTTGTTAAGTGAGTTTTGCCCCATTTTACAACCTTTCTTGCCTCAATTGTTAAGTGAGCCATTGGAGTTGATAAGTTAGTAACACGGTTGTTAAAGGAATCTGGCTTCCCCACTGACTTTGCTTGTCAGAAGTTCGCAGAAGGGGATCACATGACTTTGGAACACAGCAACGGTCATAAATACGAGTCAGTTGCCAAACATCTGAATGTTGATCATGTGGTCGTGCAGATGCTGCAAAGGTCGTAACTGTGAAAAACGGTCCTAAGTCTCTTTTTTTCAGTTCCGTTGTAACTTTGAACGGTCCCTAAAAGAACCTTTGTTCTGACTACCTGTACTGGCTTGCAGACAGAGTTGAGTCAGCAGGAATCTGACTGCAGCTATTCTTGCACTCAGGAGTGCAAGATTTCTGCCCCAGATCTGCCTGTGATATGGAGGTTAATACAGCAGGAAATTGCATCAGATTTGCATCAGATCGGCAAACTGGGGAAGTGACTGTGCCTTCATTTAAGCAGAACAATCAAAGGTTTTTAGTACAGGTAGTCCTCAACTTACACTACAATTGGGACCAGAATTTCTGTCGCTAAGCAGAGTGATTGTTAAGTGAGTCATGCCCGATTTTACAACCCCTTTTTTGGCCACAGTTTTTAAGCAAATCAGTGCAATTGGGTGAATCAAGTATTCGTTAAGTGAATCCTGCTTCCCCCCACTGACTTTGCTTGTTGGAAGCCAACTGGTGACCATTATAGGATCCCAGGATGCTGCAACCTTTCTAAATGCATGCCAGTTGCCTAGTGCTTGAATTTTGATCATGTGACTATGGAGATGCTGCGGTTGCCATAAGTACGAGGACCATCCAGTTGTTGTTTTTTCAGTGCCATTATAACAATCATTAAATGAAGGAGTACTTGTACTTCTCTGATAATCTGTAGACCAGGGGTGTCAAACTCAAGGCCTGGGGGCCAGATCCAGCCCACGGGGTGCTTAGATCTGATCCACGGGGCCACCCTGGAAACAGCGAAGAACCGGCCCGTGGTGCCTCTGCTAGCAAGCTCCGTTTTTGCTGGCAGAGGGTTGCAGGAGACCGTTGCAGTCAAAAACTGAGTTCAGGAGCCCGTTTTTGCTGGCAGAGCGCTCAGGACACCACAGGTGCCCCCAACACGGGTGACATTGAGCTAACCACGCTCCCTGTCCCATCCCCCAACCCTGATGCGGCCTTGATGAAATCGAGTTTGACACCCCTGCTTTAGACAATAAGAGGGATGAAGATAGTGAAGAAAATGACTATTCTATGTTTCTTTGCTACCTAGCAGAGAAATCACCCTGATTGTCTCTTCATCATGGCCATTTTAAATTGCCTTGGGCTGGGTAAGGGGAGGTCCTGTCTTCCTTCTTTGCTAGCATCCCATAATGTTCCAGAGAGTAATCATTTTTAGGGGGTTTATGTACAAGTCTGAAATAGCCAGCAAGCAAGGGTTATTATATACTGGTAGCTATAGCTTATCTTACCCAGCTATAATCCTGCTATGTTTACTGCTGAGTGTAAGAACATGTTCTACTTTAGATAAAGTTGACAAGCTCAGAATTGTTTTTCAGGTCACTGTACTAAAACAAAAAACTAGGACTATGTTGCACTTGTGTATTGTTCTATTGCTTATTGCCTAGTAGAGTTTTCAGCATTTCAGTAAAAATATTTTTATCCATACATCAAAGCATGTTCTACAATTTATGTAATGTTCAAATCTCATAGAACGAGGGCATGTTTATTTTTAATCTAATAATGTGATCAGTACTTGTGCAGACTACGGGTAAAAAGGAGAAATACAGTTGTAACTTCGCACAGTTACTAAATGAACTGTTGTAAGTCGAGGACTACCAGTACCCTAATTTGAATCATAGCTGAATCATTCTCTGGAATATTTTCTGATTCAATTTTTTCTGGCAACTCACATTTCTAATGTAGGTATTAGGTTGAAGGAGGCTGCTATAGATTTAGAATTATCCTTTTTGCCTCACAGGACTTCTGGAGTCTTGCAATTAATGCAGAAAAATTCAAAATAGAAAGCACCTGATCTATCTGATGGTGTGACAAGGGATTATTATTATGAGTACAGACAGAGCCATCCAACTGGTGGAAGGAATCAGAAATTTTGGAAAGTTAAGTGTTTGTTCTTAGGAAAGAAAAAAAAATGAATTTCACTATTTTCCAGATAATCACATTGCAGTGTTTATTTTTTAATTAGAATTTTAAAAAACAAACATAAAAACTAACAAAGTAATATTTAAGGTGAAAAAATAAAGTCAAAAGTGCACAAAAAAGGAAAAATACATATAAAGAAGTGACAAAAAGAAATTTGTAAAGAAATTATTTTAAGTCTATCTGATAAAAACATTGTCAACAACTTATAATCTTTATTCAGTAATGACATTATAGACCAATGTCATTACTGAATAAAGATTATAAATTGTTGACAATTTCTTATTAGAGTTAGATCTTGCCCCTCTTTAGGGATTAGTGTTACATTAGCCTCTTTTCATGTCTCTGGTATCTTTCCTCCCTGTAAAATAGAATTCATCATATTTTGGAGGGGTTGTAAAAGTTAATCCTCAAAGGATTTGCAATAGGAATCTGATAATCCATCTGGTCCTAGTACTTTTCCTGGATTAATCTTTTTAATGACTTCAGAAAGTTCCCTTATTTTTATGGGTTCATTCATAACTTGCTTTTGCTTCTTTGTAAGCCTTGCTAAACATTGGTTTTCTAAAAATTATTTATTTTCCAGAGAAATATATCCCTTATATAAATTAGAATAATAGTGAGGAAATATTTTTTGTATAACTGCATTGTCCATTAATACAGTATCTCCCTCTTGAAGTTTCAAAATCATTTTCTTTTCTTTCTCTTTTCTTAGTTTATAGCTAGCCATTTCCCTGGTTTATTTGCAAATTCAACATTCTTTTGCTTTGTATGAGTTATTTTTATTTTCATTTCTCTTACAGTTAACAATTGTTGACAATTATTGCTTTAAAAGTTTAATTTGATGTGAAATTCTTAACTTACCTGGCAAATTCTTTTCTTTCTATCATATCCAAAATAGCCTGTGTTTTCTCTTGGGTCTTCTTTTTAAGATTAGTATTATTTTATGTGAAATAACATGTGATGAAAGTTTTCCTGTATCCCAAATCATTCTTAAATTAGTAACTTTATTTATTTATAAAAACTTTCTGTTTGTTATCTTCTACCATCAAGTCTTTTTATAATAGCTTGTTTTTAATTTGTCTGAAAAAAGTAGGTTTCCTTTTATCAACCAAACTCACAGGGTTATGATCAGAAAAAGCCTTTGGTAACATCTCAGCTTTAGAAATCATAGCCAAATTAATTTGTTTTATATTTTCAGACATTTATTTTGCAGGGTTTTCCATCTTATCAAGCCTTTCATCCATTTTTTTCAAGGACTGTACATTTGAATTCAAGTGATTGAGTCAATTTAGTTCCTAATTGATCGAGCATTGTCTGAAGTAAACTCAGATTGCTTTATCATCTTTCTTGACCAGCTGTTCCAAGCAGTGGTGGGATTCAAATTATTTTTACTACCGGTTCTGTGGGCGTGGCTTGGTGGCCGTGGCAAGGGAAGGATACTGTAAAATCTCCAGTCAGAGGTGGTATTTGCCAGTTCTCCAAACTACTCAAAAATTCCACTACTGGTTTTCCAGAACTGGTCGGAACCTGCTGAATACCAGCTCTGGTTCCAAGAAAACTCTTCTACTCTAATCTTGCAGCCCAGATGTTAAGCACAAAGAATCAGGATCATAGGTTAAATTTCAATTCAGAAGATTTATTGCTCAATCCTATACATAAGAATCTAGTCAACTAAAGTTCAGTACTAAATTGGGTGCCAGATAAAGGTCAACAGAATTCAAGAGAGGTTGGACTTAGACTATTTGTGGGAAAGTAATGATTCTAGGCTAATGACTTGTTTAATTCCATCCCCAGCTCTGCCTGCTCTTTTTCTACACTCCTATTTAAAAATGAAAATGCTAAAGAAGATAAACTTCACTCATTCTTATGTCTTTTAAAGCTGTAATTGCAAACACACGTCATATTTTGCATCTCCATGGTTACCATCAAGTACTCTGACTGCTCAAGTTATCCTCATAGTTTGTTTTGTAAATTCAGCCAACTATTGGGAATCTTTTAGTGCAAAGCAAGCAGCATTCCCACAGAAGGTCTGAGTCAATTGTTTAATTCAGTAGAAAAATTAAATCTTTTCCAAATAACTTTCCCCTTCATCCAATTTAAAGTTTCTTCTTACACCATCTCTTGTTAAGTTTTCTGCCAAAAATCACTAAGTCCTTATCTGTTGTAAAAGGGAATTTCTCTGACTGTACAGCAATTATATCCAAATGTGATTAAGAAATGCAGATTGGCTGGTTGTTTCGTCCATTTTTGACTGTTCCACAGCTGTGAACATAGATGGAATCCCACACACCCCAAACACTCAACCCACAGCCAAACTGCAAAAGCTTCCAGTTTTGCAGTTAACCTATGGGAGCATCTGTTCAGAGATCAAATAGGTTATTTCATATTCCCTTCTTGGTCTGGAGAGAATTTGGTGCCTCCAGGTGCTGATCTCTGCTGTAATCCTGTCTCCACTCCCTGAAGATGATGAAACCACTCTTAATCCACACCAGAAACCTTACTGCATCTTTTAGATACATACAACTCAGTATGCCTGTTTATGAAGTCTTGTGAAGATCATCAAGTTTCAGGATTATGTTGTTAGGCTGTTAGAGTTGCAGCAGCTTGCTGTGCGTTACTGAAAAATAACCTCATGTTGCAGAAATGCAAAACACAGTTTTGCTTTGCAGAAGCAATGGTTAAGAAGAGAATAGAAGTCCCTATTTAGAGCAGATGTTGAAATAAAAGGTTGTACCAGATACCATACATAGGCATGACCAGCACAACACATTTGTGCTATTATATTTTTTTAATGAGGCACCCCGAAACAATTGAATAAGAGGTATGGAAATTATGCCCCCACCCACCCATGAAATGCATTAAAACTCAGTGACGGGTGGCAACCAGGGTTACTTTCCAAACCTATAACTTTTTGGATCCAATCTTCTCTTGTTTATGGATCCATTGGGATGGATATTGGGTTGTAATAATGAGCCCAGTGAAGTCACTCCAATGGTCTCCTACAGTTTTTCTCCAGACCTCGCCTTGGATTCCCCTGGCACCGATCATTTTGTCATCATAGCCCAACTGAAGGAAGAAGTAGCTACTTTGAAGAAAATGCTACACCAGAAGGATCAGATGATCCTGGAGAAAGAAAAGAAGGTAACACCTTTGAAGCTCCCTGCTGGGATGTTTTGCTTCACAGCAGACTCCTGCATTGCTCCCTGTTCTGCTCGCCCAGGGTTACTTGAAGAGGAGGGGTCAGGATCTAACATCTTGATGAGACTCTAAGCCAGGGTTTCTCAACCTTAGCAACTATAACCCAGCTATCCTGCTGACTGGGGAATTCTGGGAGCTGAAGTCCAGAAATCTTAAAAGTTGCAAAGGTTGAGAAACACTGCTCTGAGCCCAGAACTGCTGTGTGGATGAACCCGTGCTGTCGTTTCAGGGTTTGCATTTGAAAGTGATCTATGAAGTAATGTCTCTCTTGGGTATAACTTCATACTAATCTGAAAAAAGCAAAGAAATATCACTTCATTTTCTGATTATTGTTTAATACATACAGCCACCTTCCCAACCAGCAGGTAAAACAACAACATCGTATTCATCCATCCATCCATCCTTGTCTGTCTGTCTGTATCTAATCTCTATCTATCTATCTATCTATCTATCTATCTATCTATCTATCTATCT